GATACGTTGGCACCCGTATCAATTAAAAACTTAAGTCTCGTATTCTTGTCGAAAACGCATAGGCGGTTATTATGTAACCCGATACATGCCTCCGCCCCTGGCTGTATCGTATCTAGTTTCCCTGCGCAAACGGCGTAGACGGCTTCGCTCCAGTCCAATTGCAAGGGTCTACGCACTTCGCGGCCTTGGGACCATAACGATGATGGTAAAAGCACAACCACTTCGGGTTCTTCCGGGACATACTGCCGCTGCGTTACCGCGATCCTGATCGCCCGGGCCTCCCCCTGTTACTTGAGTTATTGTTGCGTTGATTCGACCTTGACTGGCGTAGTTCTGCTATTTCGATCTGCAGCTTACCCACCATGTCCTCTAAATCGCTGAGCTTGCTGGACGTAACACTGCTGACGTCGGCAATTTTCGCCGGCCTGGTTGCTTCCATCACCTTATCCGCCACCGTCGCCAGGCTTTCCAGGTACTTTACTTCGGTGACAGCTAGAACAGCTTGAACAGCCGTGGGTAAATGTCTGGTCCACATAATCTGGAGTGTAGCGTCTCGCATTTTATTTCTCGCGCGGTCTCGCATCCGACGTAAGAGCTGCGATGGCTTTTGAGCGCCGAGCTCCATCTCCCCCAGTAGTTTCTGAAATTGTCTGGTCTCTGACTCCTCAAACACCTGCAGAAGCCGATCCTTCAACGTCTGATACCTCCTTTCGGATGGCGGTGAAAGCAGTAGATCACTTACCTGCTTTATAGCGCTCTTGCTTAATTTGGTTACGACCAGGTTTTGCTTGGCCGCATCCCCAATTTTCTGGTTTTCTATTACGGCCTCGAACTGAACGAACCAGAGTCGCGGTTGGTCCGCCCAGAAGTCGGGTATTCTAGACGATACGCTGATACTCGCCAGCGCCACGGTGCCATCTGCGCGGGTCTCCGTCGACGCCTGCTCGCTTTGGGCGGGCAGTGGTACCGGCGCGGGCGGGATAGGCGCTGCAGGAACTGGCGCAGGTCCTGGTTGTAGATGCATATCTTACCGACACTATTTCACAAACAGTTCTTCACGGGGTCACCAGTGTACAGTCTTATGAATACTGTATTGGTTTAATTAATTAATACATTTATTCCTTGCTAAGTTCACTAAGGTGTACAATTAAGGTTGCAATAAATGAAGACACGTGTAAACGGAGATATATTTGCGACTACTTTCTAACGTGGCGGACGCAGCCACCACACCTATAACTATTATACATATTACACATACACATAGCTGTTATACTTAAATAAGTATGGATATGATGTAGGACACCGGACACGCGATCTAAAGAGCCAGTATATTATATATATCTATATTGTGTCCCTACAATTAATATAGATTAAGAACAATAATGGGCCAAGAATCGAGCCCTGAGGAACGCCCATTGATACTACCGATCCGGAGAAACCTTTACCATTGATTACGACTTTTTGAGTTCTGTTACTTAAATATGAAGTAATAAGTCTAAGCGCCAATTTTTTTACACCGTAATGTTGTAGTTTCCTGATTAATGTCTCATGATGAACACAATCGAAAGCCTTGGAAAGGTCACAGAAAACACCTAAGGCATCTTGTGAATTCTCCCAGGCATTAAAAATATATTTCATAAGCTCAACACAGGCGTCAGACGTCGAGCGACCCTTTGTAAAACCAAATTAGTTTTTATGAAGTAATTTATTTGTAGTAAAAAAAACTGAGAGTTGGTTATCATGAGTGTGAACTTGCCGACAATGTCATTCACTCTCTTCTTCTATGTTGTCTGTATCAAATTATATTTAATAATTAATTCTATGCTATTTGTATTAAAATAAAACCATTTTTGCTCACAAATATCAAATTTTTGTGAGGTTAATCGATTTCAAATTTTAATAGCACAGATATTTTGCATTAAATTACGTTTGTTTCGAATTTAGGACACTTCTTGGAAAATAGGCAGTTAATATAAGCTCTTATAACTTTTTATAGATGATTGAATTATCACTTATGTCTCAAATTTTTCTCATCCATGCTGTCCTAATTGTTTTACAATTATTAAAAAAAATTTGCCGAATAAGTCCGCTTTTCCTCGATCTTTTTTTTTTCGAATTTCTCAAAGTTTTTAGTTGTATAGTTTTTCATTGTTACATAAATGACCCGAGTCTGAAACACCGTAATATAATCAAGTTTGTAACGTATTTTTTTAGTATAACTATCCACAAATATTAAAATGTGTATAGTTATTTTCTTTATTTTTTACTAAAAATTATTTAATTAAAAGAAAACGGTTAATTTTTAATCATTTTTTTATGGTACTTTTTTCTTAATGTGCAGCTTGATTCGATGTTATACTACAATTAAACATACAAGAAGAATTTTCCATGACAGAAATAATTTTTCCCAAAAAATTAATCTATTCTATGACAGGAACAAAAATTGTCGACCCTCAACGGAAAGGATATTTTGAAATAGCATCTACGGAATTCTACGAAATTTTTTATACCAATCTACGGATTTGGAGAAATTTGATTACAGGTTCTCGGAACCGGTATTTAGAACCGGTACATCGGAACCCAAACCGGAACCGATACCGGAACTGGAACCATACGGAAAAGAGGAACCTTTATTAGAACCTAAATGAAGAATCAGAACCGAAATTGGTACCGGTGTTCAATCCCTGACAACAGGTGATGAATAGTTTCAACTTAATCATAATGTGGGCACAAGTTCGAGAACAATATGTTAAGTCGAAGAAGGTGTGCAGGAGTTCTATGATGGCCGACCCACAGTCGATTTAAAGTCGTAATATAGTCACGACTTGCTTCCTTCAACTTACCACGAATTTACAGTTTTTGGTACTGGATACTTGCATACATATCTTTCCATAATAAACGTATATTCTTTCTCAATTTATTAAGTTACAGATAAAGGTAAAATATGGCTTACATCAAGTAGATATATTCCTTCACATTCAGTCTTATCGGTGATTACATTTCCAGAAATACTTTTATGTGAAGGAATCACATAAAAGTGACTTCAACACCCTTTTTTGACAAGTTAAATATATGTTTTCTAAAATTATACACAATGTAGTTAATTTTAAATGAATTGAGTAATTTTCTATACAAGAAATTAAACTGAGAGCATCGGCTAATATAAGAAAATAATTATAATTATTTACAAAATAAATTCGCTTAAGAACTTCAAAGACTGCATATTATCCTCTGCCGTAATATAGTACAATTATTAATGAGAAGTAAATAATATAATAGAAATACTTTTAACAGACCTCAAAATATATTCAAATCCTGAAATTTTTTTGTAGTACATACTCAATTTTAAATTAAACTGATTTCATGACATTTACATATTCATAAGGATTTATTACATGTATGAAAATATAAATAAATATATATTTAAACTGTAACTATAACTATTTCATTCCATTCAAGTTTAGTGCCATGAAATAGTATAGAGAAATAGGAATGAAAGTGTTGCAAAATATATTCTACTCTCTAAGTTTCAAACCTATTTCTACACTTCCAATTCAGTAAATTTTTTTAAAATTAAAAATATCTTTTGAGTAAAATTCTCAGCACTATATCTAATATTATATTGTATCTTCATATCGATACATACGATTTGTATTTTCCATACATATACTTAGGATACATTCTCAGTCTATGCGTCCATAGGCGGCAGGCAATGACTTTTCCATCCACGACTTTTTCTGCCACCAGGAAGACGCCACTAGAAAGTGAGGTATAATATTTGACAGATTTCATAGCGGGGAAGTTAATTTGTTCGGAAAATGTAAAGGTTATTGTTTCTTTCTGCACTAGTAGCTATATTTTATATTAACCAGAAAACCAACACAGATATTCATAAAAGTAGAAAAATTTTAAAAAAGTTAAAAATGAGCAAAAAAATTAAAGAGCAAACCACTAACGCATTGTTTTATGTATTCATTTAATACTCTAGAAACTGATAAACGTTTACTAAAAACCAACTTCTAAATTAAATTACACTGTGTAACAAAAAACTTTACCTCTCTGAAAAATAAGCGACATTTGGTAAGCAGAAAATTATTAGTCCTCGGTTCGTATTTTCGAACTATTCAAATAATTTATGGAGTCGAATGATGATATGAATGAAATTATTCACGGTCGCGGACTTATAGATGTGCTAACTCGGAAAAATTACGACTCGAGTTAACTCGAATTGAAATTCACGCAACTCGAGTTAGCAGTACGAAACAGAGTAAATGATTTGTTACAAATTACTTTTTATATAAATTTGTTTTTCTATCTAGCTATTTGGTGGGTTGGCATAACTATAATTACCAAACTTATTATGTAGGACATTTCTTATTAGTTTGTGGTATTATACTATTCCATCAACTCGCTGCCGATTAAGGAATTCCCCGCGCAGTTTGACCACCTTTTTCAAAGAGAATATAACCAGTACGTTTAACCTTTTTTCAAGTTTGTTTTACGTCATTCTATACTTTCTAATTCAAATAATATAACACTACGCAGATAATCATATATTACATATTTTTGTAATAGTTGTAATAGAGGGCAGAGTAAACATAGTCCGAGCCTCTTCTTTTTTAATAAAAAAAAGTCTTAGTAAAGTTTGGTGTCAGATTTTTAAATGTTATATGGTTATACGCTAAATGTAAAATTTTGCTTTGACGTTATATATATATATATATATATATATATATATATATATTATATATTGTTTTATTTAAATATTAATGCGTACTATCTTTTTTTAGTTCTTAGCCAAATACGATCTTTTTCAGTTTATGGTACGATCTCCTAAACAATAAAGTTGGCAACCCTGAGGCTTTGTCTATGGATCTAAGCCGTAGACAAATAAATAACAACAACTGTGTAACTGTGTTTTGAATTTTCAAATTTCAAATATTGTGCTGTTCATGTTTTATGTAGTATTGTAAAAAAACTTCAATATTAAATTTATTAAAATGAATTTCGATTTTTCTATACCTTTGCAAAAAGATGAGCTGTTAGAATCTCACGCTGGACAATATCATGTCGAGGACGTTGTACAACCAAGGCTGTTGTTGTCTAAACTTCAAGGTTTGTGTTCATGAGTGATAAAATATTGTTATCCTTATTGTTCTTAAATTTTAATAGTTACATACTTCATACTTACTTCCTAATGCTGGGCACAGGCCTCTCAACTACTGAATGGGCTATATCTAGGCTAGCTCAGTGGCACTGCTCAAACGCATATGGAAGGACCTTACCTCTCATATCTTCTAGATTTTTCTATTTTAATAATCGCATTTATGTTTATAATCTTCGTTCTTTTTGTTTTTCTTACAGATGCCGCCCGCGCCTATAACTCTGAGGGAGTAGAATATATTTTGGAACACTTTGATTCCTATTTCTCTATACTATTTCATGGCACTAAACTTGAATGGAATGAAATAAATAAAGGTACAGTTTAAAAAAAATAATTATATTTTCATACATGTTATAAATCTTTATGAATTATCTATATACCAGTTTAGTTTATAAATGAGTATCTACTACAAAATTTCCAGGATTTGAACATATTTTGAGGTCTGTTAAAAGTCTTTGTAATCAACTTGAAACCATCTTCCAAGAGCAAGATATTGATCCAGATATACGTATTAAATACCTCAATGTAGTTAAAATGGTTATGTATTTATTTACACAAATAATGAAAACCAAAGATGCCAAATTAGCAGCAGATGTAAGTATGCCATTTGATCTGTTAAAGTAAAATAAATTTACCTTATTTTTAGGTAGAATAGTTTCCTAATTATTTTAACTTGTTTTAGAATTCTACAAAACTGACATTAGGTAAAAAAGGAAAGAAAAATGCTGATGAGGAATTTTGTGGGTGGACTGAGGCAGATAAGCAAGGGGCTTTGGTTGCATTGCATATGTTGCTACAGCAGCCATTGTCTCGCCTATGGGATCCACCACTTGCAGAAGATAATTTTGTTAAGTTAGTTAAGTTATAAAGTTTATAACAATTGCTTATAAATAATGAAATGTAATTCTTCCATGTATTTACTAAAATAAATTTCATTATTTTCTAGTATGGTAGCTGAACCTTGTTATAAAGCATTGGAGGAGCAAATTATTAAAACAAAGTCTGTGCGGGAAACAGTGTTCCAAATTCTAGGTGTGTTAGTAAAGAAATATAACCATGGTACGTCATGCCTCATTAAATTAGTTCAGGTATGGAAACAATTCATAAAATTTTAATTTTTATATCAGAGAGTGACTGAAATAATTCTTATCATTTTAATGTGTGAAACATATATTAATTTTCAGTAATATCAAAACATAATGTGAAGTAAACATTTCATGTCATGAAGCAGTATGATATTTGTGGTATTATTATGCAGCTGATAGTAGATGATCCTAAATAAATAGTAGAAAATTAAAAATTTACAACTGGTTTGAATGACACTAGCAAATATGATAAAACCAGTATATTTTTTAATTTTAGACGGAGATGTTGCATTAAATTTTTAAATCTCTCAAATATCTTACATTTTTTAAATATCACTATCAGCTAATAAAAAGTCAACTACTACATATGAGCCTATCTCATAGTAGAGAGGATTTGGCACAAACTCCTTCCTCTAATAAGTGTAGCAGTGTATCCATTATACTGTATACATAATCCACTATGCTTTTTGTCCCAAGTGTATTTTAATAGTCAATTAAGGGAAATGTTTGGAAGATCTTGTGCCAGATAACCACTCAGTTATTTTAGCTTGCATTAACATTTGTGTAAAAATATAAATAATTAAAATGAGGTTTGTTTTGCTTATTGCAATATGTGTATTAAATATTTAAATATGTATATTCTCTATTAGGTTTTGCAAATGGCAGAACATGCTGTGTCACCAATCTGTGGAGGTGTAGTGCAGCTAACTAAAGAATTTGGACTTGGCACTTTTGGACCACAAATGGTAATTAAAAAAAAAACACAAAATATTCAATGATATACCTCTTACAGTAGACTGTCGATAACTCTAACCTTATTAAGTTGTTATCTTCCTTAAGTCGAAAAGAAATGCCATTCTTTTCCGCTGAACCCCTAAATATGTAGTATCTGAAATTATTTAGACTGTAACTCGAACAGTGTTATTTACCTGTGAGGTAGTGATAGTACCGCATGGACAGATACTGGCGACCTCTCATATCAGGGGTCGGCGCTTGAACTGCGTAAATGGTGCAATTTTTTTATGTGGTAGGACCACGCTGCAGTTATATTATGGTTTTAGCACAAATGGGTCGAGCCCTTGGATGATGGGAGAACCGGAGACGCTTTTAACTGGAAATGAGGCATTCCAATTTAGTCCTCATAGGTGACAACGCATGTATTTTGATTCTTAAATCGAAGACAGATGTAGATATCTATGGGCCTGAGTACCCACTTACCAGCAGGTGGACTGTTTGCCCTTTAACACTCTTATTCTATAAAAAATTATAAAATTTTTGCTGAAGAGAATACTGGTGAAAATGCTGCCAGCATTCTTGGCACTATACCCCGGGGAGTAGGACTCTATGATCATTTTAGTTTTTTTTATTATTATGTAATAAATATTTTGTATTTTTACTTAAGACCATGATTTAACGTAGGTAGCTGAGAATTTCATTGCTCCAGTGAGTGGAACCTTTCCACATCCTTGATCGTCATTTAAATTATTAAGGAATAAAAGTAGACTCTCGATAACTCCAACCTTGATGAGTCTCAATAAGTCGAAAAAAAATGCCTTTCCTTTCCACTGAACCCCTAAATATGTGGTTATCTCAAATTATTTAGACGGTAACTCGAATAAAATGTTATTTACCTGTGAGGTATTGATAGTACTTTTTTACAATTCACTGATTCTCCCTAGTCACAATATGTTGTTTACTTTAACAGGTTCGAGAAATAGCTGAAGCATTGGCTTCAACAGAAGAGGATGCCGCTGGTGCTGGCACTGAACAAGCTGCTGCTAGGAACTGTGGGGCATTTTTATTAGAATTAACCAAGGAGTTGCCCAAGGAAATGACTAGCGCTATTGCAACTCTGCAACCGTACTTGGAAAGCGATGAGGTAGACACCAAAACCAAAGTGTAATTGGGGCGAAGTTTGTTACAAACGGCGTTTGTGGTTGTTGACTTCTCTGATAAAAAATTGAGTAGCAAGATCCATAACAGTTCCAAAAACATTGTACAGTCCTATAAATTCTATGATTTAAGCAATTGCTTTGGAACTTTGTGCCCGTTTTAGCCCCATTTTCACATTTGATTTTGCATGATTTTTTAAAAAAAGTTTTATACTTTTTTAAATAAATACATAACTTTCAAATCTATTAAAAAACATTATATATCGGCAAAGTTATTGGTGCGGTTGGTAATTACAATAACACCAAAATAAATGAAGTTATGCAAACCAGCAGGGACAGACACAGGGCAGACCTATGATTGTGACGAACAACTACAGACACAGGGCAGAGCTATGATTGTGAAAAATTACTTCTACCCTCATTTCTCTTATTTTCTCTTCTAGTTCACATAAATATCTGTTGTATAAAAATTAATAACCATAAAAATTTTCTAACTTTTTGCTTCAAATTTTAAGGATAATACAAATGTTTTTTTTAATTATGTTACCTATGATGATGGTGCTATTGTTGTATAACCTTTTGTTACTAAAGTTAACACTATTATTGCTCATTATATGTTTGTAAATTATATTTTAATTTCTTATTGCAAAAAAAATCTTTCATCATCATGTAACATCACATGTTTTTGTGTATAGAGTTACACGTTGCGAATAAGCGTATTGGGCATGATATGCGAAGTGCTGAGTGTGGAGCTACGTGGAGAGGGACTGTCGGACGAGCAACGTGCGCAACGTGATGATTTTCTTGATGACCTCTATGAACATATGCACGACTTATCAGCATACGTGCGTCATAAGGTATGCAACGACATATTTAATATTATACATAAAACATGTTGTACCTATGTATCTTAAAACGTGTGGCGGTACCACAGTCGAAGCTTGCTCAGTAACACCACCGTAAGTCACGAAACATGTAAGCGCAATCAAAAGAATCACCGGTATGTGTCACCTGACTTCTTGAGCTTGTACTTAAGAACTTCGGCAGTCCATGCTGTTTCTTCAGAGTGGACGTTTTCGTTTTTGTGTTTGATACCTATGATTGTATTCTGCAAAATGACGTACTCTAAAAAGAGTATTAATACCAGATATATCCGTGAATTCGACCGCATAGAATTTTGTTTTGAATTTTTATTACGTTGGGCCTAATTTATTATATTTTAACTGTAACAGTATTAGATATTTTTATAATTATAACGTGTTGTTACATCAAATAACCGATCAAGTGCATTTCCGACCAAAACCACCAAAAACACGGCACCATTCCTTCAATATTACATAATATACGTAAAATTAAGTAAGTAAAGAAGATACGAGATACGACTTTCCATTGACGTCCGTCAAGATGGGGGTTGATATTTTTTTTACAGTAAGGTTACATTATTATAAGCACACACGCAAAGTTTCAACATGCGGAAACGTACCCTTTTAGTAATCGATTTTTTTGTGAATCGATACATCAGTTTACGTTTCGAACCGATTTAAAAATCGATCTTTTTCGGAAATGCCATCCCTACTGAAGATGACAATAACAATACAAAATACCGTCAGTTTTACCGTAGGAATTGACATAAATATTGCGAAAATAATTGATTTTCAATAATTTTTTTCTCATGTTGAAACTTTGTGTGTGTGCTTATAATAATGTAACATTTCTGTAAAAAAACTACACTATACTATATCAACCCCCAACTCGACGGACGTCAATGGAAAGCTAAGCCAGATATGCACTAAAAAAATGACAGAATAAATCTAATGGCTTTCAATATAATATATAAAAACATAAAATATCCAAATCCACTGCGGTCAGCGAACCTCAAATTTATTTTTTGATTTACCACATACTTCGTGGTAAAGAAAAACATTGCAAGCAAACCTAAATTAAAAATTGAATGTAAAAATTGAATGTAAATCATTTAGTTAACAAGCTGTAAGGGGACGCAATGAGTTTTTTACTGTACCAAAAACTCTGTCAGAAATATAAAGATTCCTGTGGGATTTATAAAGGCTGTTAGGTTACTTTTTAATTGAAGATTAACCAACTCTCAAATAAGCCTTTTAGCATGTTGCTTCACTGAATCCAACAGTTAGGTAGCATTTTGCAGTGCTAGCTCATATGGGACAGCAGTATTCTGTTGGACTCAATGAACTGCCTATAGTAGAGGTTCAAAGAAATCTCAACTTCTAACAATTAATGGTCTGTGCACTCTAAAAATACATCCTAGAAAGTTCCTTTTAGTGGTCATTAGTGTAAACACTTTTGTTTTGAAGGCGGCTTCAAAATAAAACGAGTGTAATCGCTTGTGTTTTGGAGCCATTGAATCTCACAAAATTGACATCGCCCTTTTGGGATAGAGATTTGCGACAGTTGTTGGCTAGCCAAGCTAGTCCAAGATTTGGATTCACACACACGAGACAACTCAGGCGCACAAGTCTTTAGAACTATAGCTCGTATACCCTCTGGTCCACTAACTTTGTTCACATCTAGACTACACAAGGCTTTGAGTTGCAAGCAAAAAGACAAACTAAAAGTCCGCTTTCTCCTTAACTACATGCACCAGTGAGTCATCTTGTTTCGACAGCGGAGGCAGTGTAGACCGGGAGAAGTATGCCTAGACCGATTTAGTGTGAGGTTTTGAACCTCTACTGCCTTTTTACAAAAGTTTGTGGCTTGGTTAAAGGCTTGCTATCTCGATCATCGATGGAGGATAAATACGCCATATGTTTGTGCTTTTCAGCTCGGGCACTTTCGGCGTTAAGCTGTGTGAGCTTTACCACCGACGGTTACGTCAGCAAAGGGGATGAAATACGCCATCGTTGTGACGTATAACTTTGGTAATAGGCTGACGGATCTTTAGACGAGCAACTGACCTGCCACCAAGGATAAGATGCAAATAAATGCCGCAATACGTGGTACAGCCACTCTGCAGCTATAGCTGATTGCAGCACCAATGAGTTGGCACAACTGGGGTAGGACCGCGCTCTCACAAAATACTAGCATAATATAGCAGCTTAATGCTGCCATGTTTGTAGAGAACCGGAGACCCTTTTTACTGGAAATGAGGCATTCCATCTTGGTCTTAACCGCGGCGCCCACCTAAGCTACATGATTTCGACATGGCTTGTAGCATGATTCTGACGATACTCTGACGTGACCACGGGTGACACTGCTTGCGCCAACCTGTGCAACAATAGCATATCGCCGAATTCAGTTTGAGCCAAAATGTCGTCTGAAGAAGATAAACATACCCTTGCTATTCTACAGATTTCAAACATTCCAAGTGCCAGCAAAACATTTCGGGTACATGCTTTGAGGAAAAAAATTGAAAATTGGTGGGACTTTCAATGCTATGAAGGAATTAGAATTATATTTTGCATAGGCAAGTCACTATAAGTTGCAAGAAGTATCTTGCGAATTCCTGTTAATGTAATCGGGTCTAGAACAATCATATTGTATACATGGCCTTTCATGAAAAGAAAAAAAGCTAGGTCGTTTTTCATTTTGTATAGACAAGTCACTGCAAGTTACGTGTTACGCGCCACTTCGATGCGTCACTAGTAGCAAGCTGAATGGCACGTCACGTCATGCGGCGTCACGCCACGCTAATGGGCGCTGCTACATACAATCCCTTTGAATGTTGAGGCGAGTGACAAGTTACGCGTCAAATCACGCGTCAGATCACGCGTTACGTTACTTAGGTGGGCGCCGCGCTTTAGTCTTAGGAGTGACAATGCCTCTGCATTTTAATTCTTAATTGAGGATAGATGTAAATGTCTGCAGGCCACAGTCTCCACATACCATCAAGTGAACTGTGTGCTTATTTGTCTATAAAATAATGTCATCCCAATCGGCTGACTTGCTATATTAGAAATAGAGCTATATTAGAAACCACACACCTTGGAAATCGTATTTAGGAAGAGAATATGACGACCCATATTTCACTAGACAGAGGTAAGGAGTTCCCAAAGGGGAGTTAATCTGAACATCATACCTGTTTTGATTGGTGGTCAGTAGAAGGTCGAATCAGTTAGCTGTAGTGTAATTTTGATGTTATTGTGGAAAATTATATAAAAACGTTCGGGAAATTACCCAACCCTATTAAAGCCAAACAGCAGCGTATGCACAGCTATGTTCTGGTTATGCTAGGATCTGGATCTAGATTCATCTTAGAAGTTACCACATTTCTGTAACAAATTGTTAGGTATTACTACGTTTTCTTTCAATGCAGAGGTATCTATCTGCGACATTAAAAATAATAAATTATACTTAAGTTACTACTTACCTAAGTCTTTGGGATGATTAAAAAATTTTATATTTTTATTTTTCAATTATTATTCATACAAGTAGTACAGTAAACCATATTTACACTTTTTTATATTTCATTTAATACGAATAATTATTATAATTAATAGAATCAGGCGTTACTTTGCGGAAATCCATTATATAAAAGCTTTTAGAAAAATTTACTTCACAAATATCCGCGTTATAAAATAAAATGATGTGTTAGTTAATTATAGTGATAGTGCACGCAATTGAGGTGGCCGGGAGGTGCTCTTCATACTAGGTTAGACACATCATTTTATTTTATAACGCGGAGATTTGCGAAGTAAATTTTTCTAAAAGCTGTTTTGAATAATTATTATTTGAAAGACAAAATTTGACACTTGTTGTTCTTTACATCACCCTGAGTTTGAGCACTGGCCGGGCCGGTTTAGAGTAGTTTCTCTCTGTACGTGACGAGCCGCCAGTGCTCACGCACACACGCGCGTCTAGTTTGTAGTAGTGTAACTATCATAGTGCGGTTGAATGAAGCTTTGCCTCTGTACGGTACGGTTTCTTTACTCATGTGCTTATAGGAAGTAAATATATCGAGCACAGATAGGTTACGAGTCAATTTCTTTGTTTTTGTGCATAAAATATATCTTGTTAATACTATAATGTTTTCTACGCAGTTGATGGTTTGGAAAGTATTTTGAAGTTGCAACTGGCAGTTTGTCGCCTGACTCAAATCTGTCTAACCATGTTAATGATGATTTTTTTTTATATACGCTAGGTACTTCAATTCTGGTCGCGATTACAAAGGGAGAATAGCGTGCCAGTCAGTAGACAACATTCAGTATTGGAAAGAGCAATTGGCCGCTTAAAAGATAAAGCGGCGTTAGTAAGAAAGGCAGCCATACAGCTAGTTAAGGTACCGTAACCTTGTCTATTAGTTTAAACTACTTTACGGCCGAATAGATTTTGTTGTGATGAATACAGTGTGTAGTCATTTTTTTTTTCATATTCAACGAGTGTCATTTTAGATCGATTTCATGGCTTAATGGCTGAACCCCTGAGCACAAACTTAGGCAATATATCCGCGTTTAATTTCGTTATAATTTATTATTTAATTTTTTTAATTTTTCAAAATTAAACAGGATAAAATCCGCAACATTATATGGTTTTATCGAATCCCTGACCATAAATAGCATCAAAAACGATGAATCTGTTTTGACAAAAAAAAAGCAAACAAATTAACAAAAGAACCAATTATACTGCACCTTATAAAACCTAAAATTATACAAACTCTTAACAAACTTATAAACATAACTATATTTATATATTCCACAGGTATTCTTAGAATGCAATCCATTTTCGGCGCAATTAAAATTAGATATTTTAGAGGAGCAATTAGCATCTGAACAAAAGATACTAGATGATCTCCAAAAGAAACTCAATCCGGGACCCGATCCAGAGCTTATTAAAAAATGGGAGAAAATTGAGAAAGATGTAGTAAATACAATTAAGGAGAAGATGGACACGCTTACACAAGACGAACCCGATTTATCGCAAGCAACGTTAGACAATTTATATGACGCAATTCGTAGGAGCTTAAAGGAGAAAGATTATTATAAGGCTTATTTGATTGTAAAGCACACAGAAAGACAATACCCAGATGCAAAGTTGTTGAGATGTGACATGCCTAAAAGTGAACAGGTATAATTGTTACATAATTCTTATTACTTAAATAAAATAATTTTATTTTTTTAAACATTTGCTGTTGGTGAGAACTGTGGTAGCTCAAATGGTTAGCGCTCGCCTTAAATTTCACAGTACGCGAGCAACCCGGGTTCGATTCCCGCCAGCACCAATGAAATTGTTAATTGCAATTTTAAGTGCTGATTTACCACGTGGTCGGCGTAAAAGGAAAATATCGTGAGGAAACCTGTATATCCGAGAAATAAGAAAAAAAAAAAGATATTTGAAGTTCGCCAACACGCATTGGGGCAGCGCGGCGGACACTTCCTTGCTCTAAAACCCTCTCAGAAATAAGGGGAGGCCAGCAGTGGGGGACGTATATAGGCTGTAACTTTTAAACATTTGCTTACATTATAATGGGCTCAGTTAGCACTAACTATAACAATGGAAAATGCTATTTAAATTGTGTTCCATACTTATTTTTGTTGTTTGTTGTTAAGATTGATATTACACACAATTCTTAAATAAAATGTGACCCAATTCGCAAAATGTAGCAAATTTTAACACTCATAATTTTCATTTCCAGATTGACTACTTTGTTGCTTTAATGAGAAACATTTTTATAATACCTGACAGGAGACAATCTATGTCAATGACACAGCAGTGTGAGAACGAGCTAGCACTATATAAAAGAGTAGAAGAGAAAGAAAGCATAGTAGCTTTTCTTCAAGAATCTGTACATTTTAGCAGAATGATATCTGAGGCTGTGCCTCTAGTGAACTCTTTACTGATGTCGAAACAGGCGGGCGATGTGAGCGAAGCGATCGATTTCTTTACGACAGCTCATCATTTCAATATAGAATCGGCAAAAGTGGGCGTAGCCAATATGCTACTTCTTGTTTGGTCACCAGATCAAGTAAGTATCGATCAGATTGATTTCAAGAGATCAATTAGGACTGAAAAAATACTTATTACTATAACAAATGATAGTAGGGTTTGTTGGACGGCGAAATACTCTAATTAAATAACTGCCTTTTTGGTCTAGTGATCGTAAACGCGATTACTCATCATGGGGTCCTGGATTCGAATCGCTGGCCCTGCGTCTGATCTCTCTCCGGTAGTGTCGAATTACCGTCCCTTCGGACTATGAGAGTGATAGAAAGGAGAGTGCACCTGTGCTTGTGCATACCCTTGGGTACTATAATTCTGCGCAGATGGCTAGTCTTCGTTGAGACTGGCCGCCGTGACTGAAATTCGGTCTGGAGTATTATTACTCTAATTAAATAAGAAAGTCCTAAAGTACTGTATGCCATTGAAATTAAATAAAATGTATTTATTCGTAGTAAGACTAAGAATTATTTGTCAAATTTCTTTTTTATCTGTTACTTTTTGGTTGATTCGGCTACAAAAAAGGCTTTTTCTTAAATAGGATAAGGGTGACAAACGAGCACACAGTCCACCTGATGGTAAGTATTTGCTGTGGCTCATAGACATGTACATCTTTGTACCCTCGATTACGAATCAAAATGCAAATGCGTTGTCACCCGTGAGGACTAAGAATGAATGCCTCCTATCCAGTAAAAAGGGTCTCCGGTTCTCTACACTCACCATACGAAACACAGGAGCGTTAGCTGCTATTTTACGCTAGTATTCTGTGAGAGCGTGGTCCTTCCCCGGTCGGGCCGATCCATTCGTGCTACAACCATATTACTAATATAGCTGCCGCATGGCTCTACCACATACAAAAGGCTGAATAATTATTTAGCATATGAGTAACATATGCTAAGAGGCTAGTGATAATAGCTATTATAAACTACCTTCATTTTTTTAATTCTTCTTATGTTTCTTAAAATACGCCAATTTATTTCCTATGCTCAATGTGCAAGTGACAAACTTAATTTTCTCCTTTTTTTTAGGAACACCTAAAGGTATCAAGTTATTTTTTTCATCCATTTTCTACCACCCCAAATATGTATTAAAATTCCAGCACCAATAAAACGATATGGTTGTCAAATTTATTTTGTTAATCACTCATAACCAACAGTACTCTTTTTTGACTTTGATATTCACTAGCTTTTAGGTACATTTTGTAGGGTAGACTTAAATACTTAAGATATTACCTACTTTTTTAATATTTCTAAGATCCTGAGGCACCTTCATACATCGACTTCCTGAATCTCTTACCAGGTTGTCATGCCATCTGATGCGGAGCCGCCCTTCACTTCACTTAGTGGTACGAGGCTGACCTCGAGAACCACTTTTCTTATCGGTATCAGTATCAGAGAAAATCCGAACATAAACATCTCCAGCCGGCTTGTAAAGAAGTTCCTGATCGCTTAGCGATCTGAAGGTTGTGAGGCAACACAAACTGGTTATACTCTCTTGTTTTCAAGATTTGTACGTCTAAGTTATGAGAAGTTGTGCCGTAACCTCTCAAATACTACTCAGCTGATTATATATTTGATAGGATTCGTCGATTGACTTCTCAATCTAAGTTTGATTTGCCTAGATGGATAATTTATCCGAGGTAAACATGCTCGTCAACAACTTCGTAAGTAGTGTTCCCAGCAACTACTGGTATAGGTGTGATATGGATGTTTGGAACATGTCCTTTGTTTTGTCCTTGTTCATCTTAGGACCTATCCGTTGGGTGGCACTATTGAGGTAATTGTGCATAGTGCTAAGGTTATCCAGCGATTCTGCCGTGACTATGTCGTCTGCAAATTTAAGGTGATTCGTTATGATTCTCGAAAACAACACATAGACGCGACTTCGAAGGATACTCAGTCTTTAGTTTTTTTTATAGTTGTCGCCTTTCTTGAAGAACAAGATCACCTCACTTTTGCTCCGCGCATTCGGAGTAGTGCCACTATGGAGTTCCGAATTAACAAGCTTCTAAATCTAAAGGACTTAAGTACCGGTTGAAACCCACTTTCAGAAGTTTCATTGTAATTTCATCCTCGCACGTGGCCATACCGTTTTAAGGTGCTGGAGAGCCAGTGTCGTTAAATAAAATAACCCTAGTATTGTTATGTTTGGAATTATTTCATTTCAAGCACATACGTTGAATAATTGATAGTAATGTAGAAAAATAAAAATGTACTGTCGAATTCGAAAACACGTAATTTTCATCTAAATCATTAAAGCCTGTAGATTATTGAAGTATATTTCATAAGTATCTTTATTAGTTTTATATCGATAGAAATAATCGTCTAAGCTTGCTATCGAAATGTAAACTAGATATTGACTAGACATAAAATCCACGAATGAGTAGTTATATGTTAAATTAATTTAAAAATTGGTTTTTGTCGATGAGGTATAAAAACGAATATGTAATTTTACTTTCTTATATAGGATGTAATGGGCCTTGGTAGCTCAAGGATAGCTAAGCGCTTGCCTTAAACTTCCAGTATACGAAAAACTCTGGTTCGATCCTCGCCGGCACCAATGTAATAATACATTGCAATTTTAGTTCTCATTTACCACGTGCTCGGCAGTAAAGTAAAACATCGTAAAGAAAACTGCATGTGTTAGGAACAAAATATTAAGAGGACATGTAAAGTCCACCAACACGTACTGGAGTATCGTGGCGGAATAATTGTTGAATAACCCTATCAGAGAATGACTAGAATGGCTCTCCAGCACATTGAAAACGGCAAGTCCCCGGGCGAGGATCGAATTACAACGGAGCCTCTGAAAGCGCGTGGAAAACCGGGACTTGAAGTCCTTCCGAAACTCTTTAATTACGTCCTTCATGGTGACACTACTCCGGAGGCGTGATAGCAGAAGTGCGGCGATCTTGTACTTCAAGAAAGGGGACAACGATCTCTTGAAGAACTACAGACCGATTTCCCTTCTGAGCCGCGTTTTCAAGAGTCATTACGAATCGTCTCACTCGATCGACGACTTCCAGCATCCCGAACAAGGCGGTTTTCGAAGACTTTAGCACCATAGAACACATACATACCCTTCGGCAAATTGTACAGAAGGCCGAAGAGTACAATCTGCTACTTTGTCTTGCGTATGTGGACTATGAGAAAGCCTTTGATTCCGTCGAAATTTCGGCGGTGCTACAGTCCCTTCAGCGGTGCCAAGTTCACTGTCGGTATATCGAAGTGCAGAAGTGTTTGTACAGTAGGGCTACGATGGTTATCCGAGTAAAGAATCAGAGTACAAAACCTATCATCCAACTGAGGAGAGGTGTAAGACAGGGTGACGTTTTATCCCCGAAACTCTTCACCACTGCATTGAAAGACGTTTTCAAGCTACTGGACTATGCTCAATGACATCAATTGTGTCTCCCAACGGATAGATATCTTAAGATAAACATGAACAAAACACATTCATTCACAACAATCACATTTAATATCCATGTCACACCTATGCCGGTAGTTGTTGGGAGCAATAAGCTCTAAGTTGTTGACGAGTATGTTTACCTGGGACAAATAATCCGACTAGGTAAGTCCAACTTCGACCGAGAGGTCGATCGACGGATTCAATTTGGCTGCGTAGCGTTCGGGAAATTACGACACATCTTCTCGTCAGATATACCTCAAAACCTGAAAACGAGATTGTACAGCCAGTGCGTGTTACCAGTTATGACTTATGGATCTGAGACGTATGAGGACGCTCAAGCTCGCTCAGCGAGCTATGGAGAGGGCTATATTCGGGTTTTCTTTGCGTTATAAACTTAGAAATGAGAATATCCACAGTAGAACCAGAGTTACCAATATAGCCCAACAGATTAGTAAGCTGTAGTGGCAATGGGCCGGCCATATAACTCGAAGGATCGACAACGGATGGGGATGAAAGGTTCTCGAGTGGCAAAGTGGCAAACGTACCAGCAGGCGATTGTAGGGCCATCCACTAAATGGAGTGACGACTTGGTAAGACATGCAGGAAGTCGATGGATGCAGGTGGCTCAGGAGCGTGCTTTGTGGCATTCCTTGGGGAAGGGCTGTTCAGTAGTGAACTTGTGAATTGGGCTGTAATGATGATAAATAATGAACCCTATCAGAAATGATAAAACCTGTGACTAGCAGTGGGACGTTTATAAGCGGTAACTTTACTTTTCAACTTTCACAGGATAAACGTGAAGCAGTAGAACGGGCTTACAGAGAAATGTATTTGGATTGTGACAACAAAGCGGAACGTGCCCGATCCTTCACGATCGCTAAAAACCTGGTGAACCTGATGACCCATGTGGACCGCGGCAGTGCGCTAGCACTCGAGCATCTGGTTGAGAAATGGATTAACAAGGGCGATATAACACCGTCTATTATACAGGTAATTTATTTATGTTTCATTTATGTTTTAAGCGAAGAAATGGAAGAAACACGACCTACGCGATTATGTAACTTATGAACGAGTCGTACAGATAAACAGCTCACTTATGCCGGGTTTCTATATTTAAAAACGCTTCGTTTTCTGATACGAGCAGTTATGCAGAAAAATAAGTGTATGAAAACCCACATTTATAAAACAAAATACATATCTATTTGACGTTCACCCACCAATTCAACTATTTATGAACCACTTCAAGGTTTTTAATTTTAAGTCCTCCTAAGTTGCTGAATGAATACTTTGTAATGTAAACGGTTTTACATGCTGTTCGTCTTCGTATGTAATAAAACGAATCGTTACGCGGAATGAGCCATTTCTTGAATATAGGAATCGGGCATTAAGTAATATCGAAAATGATATAACATCGACACCGGCATACTATTTGTGATATCTACAGGCTAAAAAGCCTGACTTGCCCTACTAAAATACTGAAAACCGAATAAAACTAACATGCATACAAAATGTATACGTGGTAGACCCATGCTGCAGCTATACATAGGCTGCATTAAAAGTATCGGGAATGGAATATTTCCACTGTTCCTGTCATATTAAAATATTTTTAATTGAAAAGTCCTTGGTTTTAAAAATCGAATACCATTTATTTATTTAAAAAAAGATTCTCGGTCTTGTCACAAGGTTTTGTCAAACTTGTTTAGTCGTTGAGAAAATGGAAGTGACTCGAGAAAATTCAAGAGCGATGATTTATTATGACTTTCGACGTGGTTTAACACAAAAACAGTGTGTTGACCGGATGATTTCTGCATTTGGTGATGAAGCCCCATCCAAAACCACAATTTATCGCTAATTTGCTGAATTTCAACGTGGACGTGTCAAGCTCAGTGATGATCCCCGTCAAGGTCGTCCAAAAACTGCAGTCACCCAAGAAAACGTTGATGCTGTGCGTAAGCTGATTGAGGAAGATCGACATGTGACATACCGCGAAATTCAGGCAACTTTAGACATTGGCATGAGTCAAATACAAATAATCTTGCATGAAAAATTTGGTGTAAAAAAGTTGTTTTCCCGATGGATACTGCATTCGCTCTGTGAAGAGCAAAAAGCGGCTCGCGTTACTTGGTGCGTCAGAACTCTCGAAAGATTCCACGCAGGATCCTCAAATGCTGTACATCGTATCACGTGACGAATCTTTGGATATACTCGTACGAACCCGAAACAAAAAACCAGTCACGAGTTTGGGTGTTCGAAAATGAGTTAAAGCCAACAAAAATTGTTCGTTCACGGAGTGTTGCAAAAAAAATGGTGGCTACGTTTGTCTCCAAAACCGGCCATGTTACGACTATTCCTCTTGAGGGACAAAGAACGGTTAATGCAAAATGGTATGCTAGCATTTGTTTGCCACAGGTCGTTTCTGAACTCCGTAAAGAGAACTGCAACCGCCGCATCATCCTCCATCACGACAATGTGAATTCTCACACCGCACATAGAACAAAAGAGTTTTTAGAGCAAGAAAACATAGAATTATTAGACCATCCGCCGTACAGCCCCGACCTAAGCCCTAATGATTTCTATACTTTCCCAATAAAGAATAAATTGCGTGGACAGAGATTTTCATCACCTGAAGAAGCTGTGGACGCCTACAAAACGGCCATTTTGGAGACCCCAACTTCCGAATGGAATTGTTGCTTCAATGATTGGTTCCATCGTATGGAAAAATGTGTCAAATTTCGCGGAGATTACTTTGAAAAGCAATAAATACATTTTTAAATAGTAAGGTTGTGTCACTTCCTTGATTCCCGAAATTTTCAGTGCCGCCCTCGTATTACTGGTATAGTTGTAGCACAAATGGGTCGGCTCGACCGGAGAAGGACCATGCTCTCACAGAATACCAGCGTAAAATAGCAGCTAAACACTGTTGTGTTTCGTATGGTGAGTGTAGAGAACCGGACACCCCTTTTACTAGAAAAGAGGCATCCCATCTTAGTCCTCATGGGTGATAATGCATCTGCATTTTGATTCCTTATTGAGGATATATGTAGATGTCTATGGGTCACAGCAACCACTACCATCAGATGAACTGTGTGCTCGTTTATCACCCTAATTCTATAACAAAAAGACACTATAACTTATATTTGATTAAATAACTACATAAAATAGTTGTGACTAAAGGTCAATGATCTAAGGCTCGAAGTTTTGAAAAAAAAAACATTGTCAGCTATCTCGCTCGTATTATTTAGTCTGCAATGGGGATTCCGGTGATAAAGTATATGTTGCCTTCACATTTGTTTATAAAGTTTATTTCAGAGCTAGGTGTAACAGTGTTATGTGTTTGAAAGTGAGTAAATGACAAACAGAAGTAAAAAGAGTCCTATATTTAACACATTTACCATCCGACAACAGACACAATAGGAAGACAATAGCAATGTACCATATGTGGCTCATGGGACAGGGAATGTGGCTCATGAGACAGGGAATGGGTTAAGCAAATTTGCAATGGCTTAATCAGTTTTAATTTTGCAAACCATAGATTACAATTACTTGTGATTGTTTAATATGTGAATAAATCTTGAACGACAAAGAAAGGCGAAATTATAATTTTGCAATGAAAACTTATCTCAAAATTACCGCGTAAACGTGTAAGATTTTGCTTTATTTAGGCTTCCTATATTATAATTAATCAATTTTTAACTCTTTCTGTGTAATATCTTTCATTGTAAAAAAATATGTAATATGTTGCCCTTGCCTGCCATTTAAACAGTTATGTACTTCTTTACGCAAGGCAGATATTTAGTTATTATAAAAAAGGTTTCTGCCATTGCAACTACCAGCTCGCACAATGATACTGCTCCTGGTTGCTTGTCTGGATATTTTACTTTTGGCTTACACTAGATGTTGATACCGTCATCCAAGCTAGGAAAGCTAGGCTAACCGTGATATTTTTCTGAAATTTCCTATAGTCGCCTCTTACGATACTCGGATATCAGGATACCCAGGATGAAGTGTAATGATGGATTCTTTTACACCACCACGGCATAAAAATTGTTGATTGTTGCCCAGGGTCGGACAATAGGGCATATTTTCCGACCCTGGGCACGCCACTGCGACCTACCTATTCGACAATATTTACAAAGGCTTTTTAATGCAATGACATTGTACCGATATCAAATATAACAAAACTTTTCATGACTTTTTGACAAACTACGTTATCAAGATCAGTGCTTTGATTAGATTGCCATATTCTATTATTTTAATATGGCAGACAAGAATTTATATTTATTACCTTCTTTTTTATATGTAGTTTTAGTTAAATCATCATAATATAATATATTAAACTTCACCCTACTGAAGTCTATTCCAGAACTATTATGAATATTGTTAAAATATAAATTAAAAAATAACAATGCATTTTAATTGTTCCTTTTAGGTGTTCTGGGAAATGTTCTTAAAAAAGATTGATGGCACTACCGACATGGACAGCTATGCTGCTCTCTCCTTTCTTGTAATGATAGCAAAAGCCAAGCCTTCAGTAGCGCAAGCAAACCTCGAAGTCATCCAGAATCACGGACTCACAGGGGATTACAATTCCAGAAACCTAAGTGCACAGTTGCTACTTTCCCTATCGAAGAAAAATCAAAGATACCCGGCTGATCACGCTATATTCACCTCTGTTTATGACAGCCTAATGGAAACATTCAATAAAAACAAGAACTTCACGTCCTTTGCAGCAAATGCTGTCGACCTTATTTATGCAATTTGCGACACGCCCGACGTGCTCTGCACGAAAATGTTGGCAGACATGTATAAGAGAATAGAGGAAGTGATGGTAAAGGAAAAAGATAATGAGGAAGAAGCCAGCATACCAACTGAACTGCTCACGCGATTTGTGTTTGTTCTGGGACAAATAGCTCTTCAACAGCTTATTCATCTCGATATTAGCGTGTATAGTGAGCTAAGAAGACGCAATCAGGTAAAAATCAAAAATTATTTCATCTTAAAGTCAATTATTGTTTGGCTGTCGTAAAAATAGACTAAGTTCAAGTATAATTAAAGAAAATTTTCGTTAGTCGGCATACAGCATACTTATTACCACCAGGTTTTTACGTAGCCCAGTAAAGGCTGCATACAAATTGCATGTATACAAGTCTGAATCAAAAACTGAATTCAAAGATCATCATTCATCATCATCATTACAGCCCTTCACAAGTCCACTGCTGAACATAGGCCTCCCCCAAGAAATGCCACAAAGCACGGTCCCGAGCCACCTGCGCCCATTGACTTCCTGCATGTCTACCAGGCCGTCACTCCATCTAGATGGGACTTTTCTTCCCCATCGGTTGTCGGTTCTTCGACCTATATGGCCGGCCCATTGCCACTTCAGCTTATTAATCCTTTTCTTAATTTAATTATTCTGAGATATCTTTTGAATTCAAATGTATCTAAGAATAATTAATTAAGTGCTTTATTTTTTCAAATACATAATAGGGAAATATTTTACAAAGAAAAATTGGATATAATCATATAAATAATCACAAACTGACTATGAGCTTTCACTAAGGTTTTTTTTTTAATTTGTATAATTTACGTGATATGCAATATTTTTTGCGCATACATAATTTTTGTTCTGTAAAAAGCGTGGACGTCCATCTAAAAGAGGCTATAATTACATGCATGTAACACTTTTAGTTGGCAATCAGTCACAATCGCTCCGAGACGAAGGCTATGTACAGTACCTTAATTATTTATTTATATGACAAAACTGCAAAATCTCCCAATGAAATGGAAAAATAATCAGGAAACATAAAAAAATTTAGTCTTTAGCTTTATAAAATGATCTATTAATTGTTGTTCTACCATTTATGTTTTATAGGTACGAGAAGAAAGGAAAGCTGAAGAGAAACGTAAGAAAAAAGCGGGAGCGTTTGCAACGCCTGCCCGACGTGGGCGTGCAGATGAACTTCGACGTCGGACGCTCATGAACATGAGCAACGCCAGTGCTTCCTCTCGCGGACAACGCTCAGCCAGTGTCGCTTCCAATAAGGGTACTTCGGTAAGTAATTCTGTTCTGTATCATATACTCCTACTAGAGTGTCTTTATTCTATGGCAAAAGTCAACTACCGTTATTGAGAATGCCCATTTAGTGTTAGTTTAGTGGTAGATACAGGTAGTGATAAAAACCTTTATGCCTGTGTTTATCGATCGCACAGCGGTGACCAGGAAACATCTCGATTATTTGATCACCTTAATGAGGGCGCTGATGTCACCCTAAATCGGTATCCTACTGCACAGCTGGTCTTTCTGGGGACTTTAACGCCTGTCACCAAGACTGGCTGTTCCCATACCAGAAGACAAGCGACTAAGGTACCCCAGTAGGTAGCCCGTCAGTAACCCCAGTCGCTGAGAGAACAGCCCACCGCGACGTTGGTGTCTCAAGTGGATCGACCAAGATTAGCTCGAAGCTGCCGCTTACGGTGCGTCCTGGCCAGAAAACGCAGAGGTTCAATCCGATCCTGAAGTGGAAGCGAACTGGTTTCGGGGTGCGATGGCGCAAATTTGTGACCTGTCGATGCCCAGAACCAGTCGCCCTAAGCGCAGAGTAGTGTACTGTGTGTCAGCAGAAATCGCACGACTCCGTGCGCTCTGCTTACGGTGGTGGCGTCAGCAGTACACTAGAGCCCGAAGGAGAAGACGGCGAGCTCCGCCTAAGGAGATAACCAGACTACGGCGAATACAGAGCGGCTACAAAGGCGCTACAAATCGCCATTACCAACGCCAGTTCTCGGTCCTGGAAAGAGCTTCTGGAGGGACTCAACTAAGATCCCTGGGGGATCCCATACAGGATGGTGCTGGGTAAGCTCCGGTCCTCTTCGCCCCCGTTGATGGACACTCTCGATCCGGATTTTCTGGGAAGGGTGATCAGCACGCTCTTCCAAGAGGACCGGTCAAGTCCCTCAGGTCACCTGCCATCGTCATGGGAGTGGCAAGATGGCATATGTCGTACGTCGGTCCTGATTTGGCTGATAGCCAGTTTGGGTTCTGACGGGAGCGTTCCACTGTAGATGCGATTATGCGCGTCCGCTCCCTGTCGGAATAAACAGTATCCCAGAATGGCGTGGCGTTGGCGTTAATTCTCTACCCTGGGACGCAATCAGGAGGGCACTTTCACATCATCAGGTGCTCCTCTACCTGCAAAGTATCATTGGGAACTACTTGCGCAACAGGTACATTCTGTACATGGGGCAAGATGGTAGAAAGATCCGGAGGGAGATCAAACGTGGGGGATTCCAGGGCTCGTTGCTGGGTCCACTACTGTGGAACCTCGCGTACGATGCGGTCCTGCGCGTCGACCTTCCCGCTGGCGTAAATATCGTGTGCTATACCGACGACACCTTGGTGATCGCCAACGGGATAACTTTCGAGAGGGTCAAGGAGCTCGCCGAGCTTGGGGTGGAAGTCGTCGTCGCCAAAATCCACGAGTTGGGTTTAGAAATAGCGCCTCACAAGACCGAGGCCCTATAGTTCCATAAATTACCACGGGGCAGGGAACCACCCGACTCGTACGTCCGCGTACACCTGGACAGTCGCTGGGGCTTCGAAGAACATTTCGAGCGCCTAGTACCCCGGATCGGAAGGGTGGCGGGTGCTATGCATAGACTGGTGCCTAATCTAGGGCGACCGATGGAGGAAGTACGCCGCCTCTATGCGGCAGTTATACGATCCGTAGCTCTGTATGGAGTGCCTGTATGGGCAAAAAAGCTGGCAATCTGACGCTGTAGAACCAAATTATACAGTGTTCAGCGGAGGATGGCCATGCGGATTGTACGAGGATACCGCACTATATCCTTTGAAGCTGCGACAATCCTGGCTCGCTTTCCACCACTAGATATACTGACGGAAATGGACGCGAGGGTGTACTTCCGAATCCGTGCCCTCCGCCAGAACGGTGGTAGTGAGCCAAAAGAGGTCGAGTCAATTAAACGGCAGGAACGACAAAACGCTCTGGCGACACGGCGCACTCGACTCGAGGTGCGCTATGAACGCAAATGCGTCATTGGAGCAATCATGCCGGTCTTAAAGCCTGGATACAGCGACGAACAGGAAGACTCACCTACAAACTTACACAGATAATTACCGGGCATGGGTGCTTCGGTGATTATCTGTGTAAGATCGGACGCGAGGCGACGGCGAACTGCTTCCACTGTGGTGGACGGGACCAGGACTCCGCTTGCCATACGCTTGCAGTATGCCCAGCGTAGGAACGGGAGTGGACGATTCTGGTGAACTGCATTGGACGGAACCTCTCCCTGCCGGCAGTCGTGTCGGCGATGCTGAGCGGGGGTTCGGTCGTAGTGGAGGGCTGTAGCCACCTTCTGTGAATCTGCTATGACTCAGAAGAAAACTTCTGAGCGGGATCGGGAGAGGACGGTTCCCGAGCAGAGACGGCGTCGCCAAGGCGTTCGTCATGGCCCTCCTCTTGAAACCGGTGTTCCCGCACCAGAAACGGGGCCTTTGGGGTTGCAGACGCTCGGAGCGGGGGCCTCGAACGCCTAGTTATGTAACCCCCGAGGAGGACGATGTTTCGGAAGCAGTCTCAAGACATCATGTTAGCACTGCGAGTGCAGGGGGCAGTACTTGTAACGCTTTGCTATACTTGCAGTATAGCAAAGCGTTAGAGCGGCCCTGGTTCCGGTCTGAACGGAGAACCTTGGACCTCTCGTATACGCTGATGGTGACGACCGTGGGGGTTTAGCCGGTATGAATCCGGCATAACCTTCTCGTTGCCGCCGCAATGAATGGTATCTATGAGGAATTCCCCACGAAAAAAAAGCTCAGCATCAGCTCGAGACCGCAAAGCTCCGCATATCAGCTTCGAGAAAAGAACTTTCAACCAGACCACCAAGTCCTAAAAAACCGTTACGGATAGCCAGTTTCTTAGAGCAGTTTTTAATAGCGTGGTACTTTACCGGTTTAGCCGATCCATTCGTGCTACAAATATATAGCTGCAGCATGACTCTACCCATATAAGGAGTACTTGCCCCACAATACTGACTGACAGCAATAACATGTTGATATGCAGTTATTTAAGTATAATAAAGTTTGGATTGGCTTATACGTTCGTTTAGACAAATACGACAATGACCGAGGAAGAGGTGGGTCTGGAAGGCGCGGTGGCGGATGATGCGGACGCGGAGTACGTGCGCGCGGTGTGCGAGCGCGACGTGGTGGGCGCCGGCACCGCGCTCGCGCGCTACACGCCGCTGCTGCGCTGGCTGCTGGCCAACCCGGCAGGCACCTCTGTGCGCCTGCAGGCTGCCACGGCGCTCTGCTTCACCAGGTACAGTGTACGGCACAGCACAGTACACCGCGCTGCACGCCGCTGCTGCGCTGGCTGCTGGCCAACCCGGCAGGCACCTCTGTGCGCCTGCAGGCTGCCACGGCGCTCTGCTTCACCAGGTACAGTGTACGGCACAGCACAGTACACCGCGCTGCACGCCGCTGCTGCGCTGGCTGCTGGCCAACCCGGCAGGCACCTCTGTGCGCCTGCAGGCTGCCACGGCGCTCTGCTTCACCAGGTACAGTGTACGGCACAGCACAGTACACCGCGCTGCACGCCGCTGCTGCGCTGGCTGCTGGCCAACCCGGCAGGCACCTCTGTGCGCCTGCAGGCTGCCACGGCGCTCTGCTTCACCAGGTACAGTGTACGGCACAGCACAGTACACCGCGCTGCACGCCGCTGCTGCGCTGGCTGCTGGCCAACCCGGCAGGCACCTCTGTGCGCCTGCAGGCTGCCACGGCGCTCTGCTTCACCAGGTACAGTGTACGGCACAGCACAGTACACCGCGCTGCACGCCGCTGCTGCGCTGGCTGCTGGCCAACCCGGCAGGCACCTCTGTGCGCCTGCAGGCTGCCACGGCGCTCTGCTTCACCAGGTACAGTGTACGGCACAGCACAGTACACGCCGCTGCTGCGCTGGCTGCTGGCCAACCCGGCAGGCACCTCTGTGCGCCTGCAGGCTGCCACGGCGCTCTGCTTCACCAGGTACAGTGTACGGCACAGCACAGTACACCGCGCTGCACGCCGCTGCTGCGCTGGCTGCTGGCCAACCCGGCAGGCACCTCTGTGCGCCTGCAGGCTGCCACGGCGCTCTGCTTCACCAGGTACAGTGTACGGCACAGCACAGTACACCGCGCTGCACGCCGCTGCTGCGCTGGCTGCTGGCCAACCCGGCAGGCACCTCTGTGCGCCTGCAGGCTGCCACGGCGCTCTGCTTCACCAGGTACAGTGTACGGCACAGCACAGTACACCGCGCTGCACGCCGCTGCTGCGCTGGCTGCTGGCCAACCCGGCAGGCACCTCTGTGCGCCTGCAGGCTGCCACGGCGCTCTGCTTCACCAGGTACAGTGTACGGCACAGCACAGTACACCGCGCTGCACGCCGCTGCTGCGCTGGCTGCTGGCCAACCCGGCAGGCACCTCTGTGCGCCTGCAGGCTGCCACGGCGCTCTGCTTCACCAGGTACAGTGTACGGCACAGCACAGTACACGCCGCTGCTGCGCTGGCTGCTGGCCAACCCGGCAGGCACCTCTGTGCGCCTGCAGGCTGCCACGGCGCTCTGCTTCACCAGGTACAGTGTACGGCACAGCACAGTACACCGCGCTGCACGCCGCTGCTGCGCTGGCTGCTGGCCAACCCGGCAGGCACCTCTGTGCGCCTGCAGGCTGCCACGGCGCTCTGCTTCACCAGGTACAGTGTACGGCACAGCACAGTACACGCCGCTGCTGCGCTGGCTGCTGGCCAACCCGGCAGGCACCTCTGTGCGCCTGCAGGCTGCCACGGCGCTCTGCTTCACCAGGTACAGTGTACGGCACAGCACAGTACACCGCGCTGCACGCCGCTGCTGCGCTGGCTGCTGGCCAACCCGGCAGGCACCTCTGTGCGCCTGCAGGCTGCCACGGCGCTCTGCTTCACCAGGTACAGTGTACGGCACAGCACAGTACACCGCGCTGCACGCCGCTGCTGCGCTGGCTGCTGGCCAACCCGGCAGGCACCTCTGTGCGCCTGCAGGCTGCCACGGCGCTCTGCTTCACCAGGTACAGTGTACGGCACAGCACAGTACACGCCGCTGCTGCGCTGGCTGCTGGCCAACCCGGCAGGCACCTCTGTGCGCCTGCAGGCTGCCACGGCGCTCTGCTTCACCAGGTACAGTGTACGGCACAGCACAGTACACCGCGCTGCACGCCGCTGCTGCGCTGGCTGCTGGCCAACCCGGCAGGCACCTCTGTGCGCCTGCAGGCTGCCACGGCGCTCTGCTTCACCAGGTACAGTGTTCGGCACAGCACAGTACACCGCGCTGCACGCCGCTGCTGCGCTGGCTGCTGGCCAACCCGGCAGGCACCTCTGTGCGCCTGCAGGCTGCCACGGCGCTCTGCTTCACCAGGTACAGTGTACGGCACAGCACAGTACACGCCGCTGCTGCGCTGGCTGCTGGCCAACCCGGCAGGCACCTCTGTGCGCCTGCAGGCTGCCACGGCGCTCTGCTTCACCAGGTACAGTGTACGGCACAGCACAGTACACCGCGCTGCACGCCGCTGCTGCGCTGGCTGCTGGCCAACCCGGCAGGCACCTCTGTGCGCCTGCAGGCTGCCACGGCGCTCTGCTTCACCAGGTACAGTGTACGGCACAGCACAGTACACGCCGCTGCTGCGCTGGCTGCTGGCCAACCCGGCAGGCACCTCTGTGCGCCTGCAGGCTGCCACGGCGCTCTGCTTCACCAGGTACAGTGTACGGCACAGCACAGTACACCGCGCTGCACGCCGCTGCTGCGCTGGCTGCTGGCCAACCCGGCAGGCACCTCTGTGCGCCTGCAGGCTGCCACGGCGCTCTGCTTCACCAGGTACAGTGTACGGCACAGCACAGTACACCGCGCTGCACGCCGCTGCTGCGCTGGCTGCTGGCCAACCCGGCAGGCACCTCTGTGCGCCTGCAGGCTGCCACGGCGCTCTGCTTCACCAGGTACAGTGTACGGCACAGCACAGTACACCGCGCTGCACGCCGCTGCTGCGCTGGCTGCTGGCCAACCCGGCAGGCACCTCTGTGCGCCTGCAGGCTGCCACGGCGCTCTGCTTCACCAGGTACAGTGTACGGCACAGCACAATACACCGCGCTGCACGCCGCTGCTGCGCTGGCTGCTGGCCAACCCGGCAGGCACCTCTGTGCGCCTGCAGGCTGCCACGGCGCTCTGCTTCACCAGGTACAGTGTACGGCACAGCACAGTACACGCCGCTGCTGCGCTGGCTGCTGGCCAACCCGGCAGGCACCTCTGTGCGCCTGCAGGCTGCCACGGCGCTCTGCTTCACCAGGTACAGTGTACGGCACAGCACAGTACACCGCGCTGCACGCCGCTGCTGCGCTGGCTGCTGGCCAACCCGGCAGGCACCTCTGTGCGCCTGCAGGCTGCCACGGCGCTCTGCTTCACCAGGTACAGTGTACGGCACAGCACAGTACACCGCGCTGCACGCCGCTGCTGCGCTGGCTGCTGGCCAACCCGGCAGGCACCTCTGTGCGCCTGCAGGCTGCCACGGCGCTCTGCTTCACCAGGTACAGTGTACGGCACAGCACAGTACACGCCGCTGCTGCGCTGGCTGCTGGCCAACCCGGCAGGCACCTCTGTGCGCCTGCAGGCTGCCACGGCGCTCTGCTTCACCAGGTACAGTGTACGGCACAGCACAGTACACCGCGCTGCACGCCGCTGCTGCGCTGGCTGCTGGCCAACCCGGCAGGCACCTCTGTGCGCCTGCAGGCTGCCACGGCGCTCTGCTTCACCAGGTACAGTGTACGGCACAGCACAGTACACCGCGCTGCACGCCGCTGCTGCGCTGGCTGCTGGCCAACCCGGCAGGCACCTCTGTGCGCCTGCAGGCTGCCACGGCGCTCTGCTTCACCAGGTACAGTGTACGGCACAGCACAGTACACCGCGCTGCACGCCGCTGCTGCGCTGGCTGCTGGCCAACCCGGCAGGCACCTCTGTGCGCCTGCAGGCTGCCACGGCGCTCTGCTTCACCAGGTACAGTGTACGGCACAGCACAGTACACGCCGCTGCTGCGCTGGCTGCTGGCCAACCCGGCAGGCACCTCTGTGCGCCTGCAGGCTGCCACGGCGCTCTGCTTCACCAGGTACAGTGTACGGCACAGCACAGTACACCGCGCTGCACGCCGCTGCTGCGCTGGCTGCTGGCCAACCCGGCAGGCACCTCTGTGCGCCTGCAGGCTGCCACGGCGCTCTGCTTCACCAGGTACAGTGTACGGCACAGCACAGTACACCGCGCTGCACGCCGCTGCTGCGCTGGCTGCTGGCCAACCCGGCAGGCACCTCTGTGCGCCTGCAGGCTGCCACGGCGCTCTGCTTCACCAGGTACAGTGTACGGCACAGCACAGTACACGCCGCTGCTGCGCTGGCTGCTGGCCAACCCGGCAGGCACCTCTGTGCGCCTGCAGGCTGCCACGGCGCTCTGCTTCACCAGGTACAGTGTACGGCACAGCACAGTACACCGCGCTGCACGCCGCTGCTGCGCTGGCTGCTGGCCAACCCGGCAGGCACCTCTGTGCGCCTGCAGGCTGCCACGGCGCTCTGCTTCACCAGGTACAGTGTACGGCACAGCACAGTACACGCCGCTGCTGCGCTGGCTGCTGGCCAACCCGGCAGGCACCTCTGTGCGCCTGCAGGCTGCCACGGCGCTCTGCTTCACCAGGTACAGTGTACGGCACAGCACAGTACACCGCGCTGCACGCCGCTGCTGCGCTGGCTGCTGGCCAACCCGGCAGGCACCTCTGTGCGCCTGCAGGCTGCCACGGCGCTCTGCTTCACCAGGTACAGTGTACGGCACAGCACAGTACACCGCGCTGCACGCCGCTGCTGCGCTGGCTGCTGGCCAACCCGGCAGGCACCTCTGTGCGCCTGCAGGCTGCCACGGCGCTCTGCTTCACCAGGTACAGTGTACGGCACAGCACAGTACACGCCGCTGCTGCGCTGGCTGCTGGCCAACCCGGCAGGCACCTCTGTGCGCCTGCAGGCTGCCACGGCGCTCTGCTTCACCAGGTACAGTGTACGGCACAGCACAGTACACCGCGCTGCACGCCGCTGCTGCGCTGGCTGCTGGCCAACCCGGCAGGCACCTCTGTGCGCCTGCAGGCTGCCACGGCGCTCTGCTTCACCAGGTACAGTGTACGGCACAGCACAGTACACGCCGCTGCTGCGCTGGCTGCTGGCCAACCCGGCAGGCACCTCTGTGCGCCTGCAGGCTGCCACGGCGCTCTGCTTCACCAGGTACAGTGTACGG